CACGTTTCTTGCGACCCTGTTGACTATTTGCAACAAAACGTTTGATGGTTCTGTGATCACGCCCCAATAACTTCGATATTTCAAGAGTGCTGCATCCCTCTGAAAGACTTTTTACAATTTTTGACTTTTCAGAGTCAGTTAAATCTCTTTCTTGGCCCATTTTTCCTGAGGAGAAGAATCTGCCTGATAATTATGCACACCTTGATAAAGGGTGTTGATCTCCTTCGGCCACACCTTCCCTCGTTACACAAATACACATCACCTGATATGCATAAAATCCAATAAGCATTCAAGTTTATACAGCTTGGAGTTGGAAATTATGGATAAAATGATGATATGGTCAAAATAATCACTTGCCTAATAATTGTGCACACAGTGTAGTGTTCACAGATCATAATCCACTTACATTTCTGAACTCCTTGCAGAACCCGAATCAGAGGCTAATGCGCTGGGCATTGTTTTTGCAGCCATACAATTTATCTATAATATAAGATAACATCATGGCTGACGCCTTGTCCCGTGCCCCTTTATAATAATGCACAATTTAACTGCTGTATTCTGCACTGTTCTCTCCTGCCTCTGTTCCCTGTTTCTCTTCCATTGCTCCTTGGCAATTAACACTTACAGAATTATTTTCTGCAAGTTCCATCCATCCATTGTCTGCACACCGCTTAATCCTTACTAGGGTCATGGGGGGCTGGAGTCTATCCCAGCTGACTCAGGGTGAAGGCAGGGGACACCCTGGACAGGTAACCACAGGTATCACAGGGCTACACTTAGAGACAGACAACTCAAGCACACTCACATTCACACCTACGGACAATTTAGAATCACCAATTAACCTCAACATGTTTTTGGACTGTGTGGGAGGAGAACCCGGAGAGAACCCACGCTGCACGGGGAGAACATGGAGACTCCACACAGGAAGATTCCGGTGCCCCCACCAGGACACGAACCGGCAACCTTCTTGCTGCGAGGCAACAGTGCTACAAACTGCGCCACCTTGCAGCCCTGCATCAGTAAAATATTATATATTTACATGTTTAACAGTTTTCTACCAGCGTTCCTGTCTGGCACCATTTGCAGGATCAGTGCTTTGTACCATCATCATTTTTTAAACATTCCTCGTGTTCTCCATAAAAACAACGTGTTGACTGAAGCAGCTGCAGACGATCGTTTCATTTTGTGCAGAAGAAAAGTCACATGACGCGTTAAACACCTCCTTTTTATGTCATTTACATGTTTTAAGCTGATCTGTTGGTTTAAGCTTTTAATAATTGACAGTTAATGGGCGCCCGTATAGCTCACCTGGCTGAGCGGGCGACCCATGAACAGGGGCTATAGTCCCCGACGCAGCGGTTGTGAGTTCGAATCCCGTTCAAGACCCTTTGCTGCAGGTCTCTCCCTCATTCTTCTCCCCCCTTTCCTGTCTCTCTCCACTACCCTAAATAAAGGCAAAAGCCCAAAAAAAATATATTTAAAATAAAATAATTGACAGTTAATAAGGAACATATATAGCCACACATTCTGTATGATGTGGGTCTTTTTCATTTCAATCTTCAGTATTTTTCTGCATTCACAGCAAAGACCAGGTGAACTTCTATGTCGTAAATCAGTCTGCTGGAGTTAAGGTGCTGCACCAACATGAAAAAATGTACACTTGTGCAAAACCTGCACAGGTGATGACTTGTTCTCAGGCACATAACTCACTCCCACTCCCACACTTGATGTGCCAGTGAAACTGTAGAAGCAGTTCTTAAGAAGTGACGGATTGTTTTCAGATCACAATCAACACATGATTCAGAAAAATTCATAGGAATTGAAAGTGTTTTCCTGCACAGGTGATGACTTGTTCTCAGGCGCATAACTCACTCCCACTCCCACACTTGATGTGCCAGTGAAACCGTAAAGAGCCATTGGTATGAGGAAGTAAAAGTACAAGTAGAAAGCAGCAGAGGGGAAGAATGGAAACTAACCTGAAACTGTCAGCTTCAGCAGTTCTTAGGAAGAGACATCGTGTTCTTCGCAATCAACACGATTCCAAAAAATTCACAGGAATTCAAAGTGTTTTCCAGTAAAACAGTGAAAGGACTTCCTGATAAGACGGAGGTCAGGCTGCTGTTGCTACACTGGTCTGTGTGGTAACAGTAGGCTGTCCCAGTAGAGAGAGTGAAAAGGTGAACTGACGCTGCAAAAACAAACCATGATAATATAAACAGTGATTACAGTATTAATCAGTAAACCTTATATTTGGCTCTTGAGCACTTTTTAATCAACATTAACGGTAAAGCAGTTGCCTATAAAGAATCATTATTAAATTGTGTAAATAACAAATTGGAGTCCATTAAATATGTTTTTAAGAAAACAAAACGTATCTCAGGTCATCCTTGTTTATTCGGCTTCAAAACAGCATTAGATCTGATGTTATTTACGGAGGGCTGTATTGGAGGATTGTGTTCATGTTGTTTCATTCCATTTTCATTCTGAGTAAATAAATAAACTTAAATGTGCAGCTTCTGTAAAACCTGATTTAATTTGTTGAGTCGTGATTTTATGTTACAAAAAAACACCACAAAGTTCTCTTTATGATTCTACAGATAAACAATGGATTAAGGTAAACTGAGTTGTTACAGCACATCGATCATTCTCATCATAAACTACATTTAGTCGGTTAACTGCATGTTGTTCTTGACGATGACCAGCTTGGCTCCTCCTCTCTTGTTGAAGTCATCAGTAGTTTGTGTTTCAAAAGCTGATCGTTCCTCAGAAACATTCTTCCATAAAGTTTGCAGACAAAGACAGTCTCTTGATTTTTCTGAAAAGATTTACTTACATTGATATTTATTATATGTCAACATTGCAGATAAGATTTGAGCCAAATTGATCTCTTAACACTTTGGACATAAAGGGAGCAAATTAAATGAGAACTGTTTTGGTGAGGGGCTGCAGGGTGGCGCAGTTGGTAGCACTGTTGCCTCGCAGCAAGAAGGTTGCCGGTTCGCGTCCCGGTGGGGACACTGGAATCTTTCTGCGTGGAGCATGTTCTCCCCGTGCAGCGTGGGTTCTCTCTGGGTTCTCCGGCTTCCTCCCACACAGTCCAAAAACATGTCTCTCAGTGTAGCCCTGTGATAGACTGGTTACCTGTCCAGGTGAACCTGCCTTCACCCTAAGTCGGCTGGGATAGACTCCAGCCCCCCATGACCCTACTGAGGATGAAGCGGTGTGTAGATAATGGATGGATGGATGTTTTGGTGAGATCATCTTTAAAACTTACAGTCGATACTTAAAATATCTTTAAAAGGACATTAGAACAATTTGGGTGCATAAAATTCAAGTTACTGCACAACGTACTACACAGCATCCCCCCCAAAAAATGTGTGGCTCTGCCTTGGATATCTGTCAACACAGCATCCAAAACGCAATGCAAACCCTTCACAGACAAACTGGATCGCTCTGTACCGAGTTAGCAAAGAAATAACACGTGCAGGCATCAGACACAAACTGTTAAAGTCGAGTTTATTCATTTATTCTTGTCATTTGATACACATACAATTAGAAAAAAAAACATGTCAGAATTAAAGAACTTTAAACGCAACTATAAGAAAAAACAACAGGAGCGAAGATCCTTTACATCTAGAGATGTGTGCGCCTAATAGTCAACAGCCTGATTTACAATAAGACAATAAAAAAGAAAGGTGCAAAATTAGGTTCGATAATAATCTATCTACAATTCATCAGTTAAACCAGCTCTACAAAATGATCATCGTCATGTGACTGACTGCATATAATTCACCATTACCACACAATATTTTCATAAATTATAACCGGGTCCAAGAAGGTGGAAGTTAAATGGAAATGTAACCAAAACCAGAGTTGTTTGGCAGAAGTGCTATCTTATTTGTCTTTTTTTTTTTGTTGCAATATTACATGCCTTAAAACTAAGGTAGGCAATATTTTATAGGAAAAAAACAAAAGAACTACAATAAACTTCCAGCATACTTGAAGTTTATTCAGTTTCCAAGACTTCTGCACCTCAGATCCGGTGATATCGTAGAAATCAAGTCGACATTAGCAGTAAGACGTAGTGGCGGAATTTATTATGCATTTTTTTGTTAGTTTCTCTTTTTCCCTTTTCCTAGATTTCCAACTAATGCTGCTTTAAATGTGAATGAAATAAAACTGAATGGAGACGACAGGCTTCGGTCCCTTCATAAAGGCACTAACACAACACCCAAGAACGTAACATTAGCCTCTTACGTACGGATTATTTTCATCTTTTGTAGCAACTAGGGATGTCCCGATCATTTCTTTGCCTCCATCCGGTCCAAGGTTTTAAATATCGAGTCCCAGTTGGATCCTGCACTCTACAGAGTCCAGAAGGTGTAACGTGAAACCCTGTGTTCTCCACAACAGCGACGGCCTGCTCATCCAGCTGGATGAGTTCAGTTGCCGTCCCTGTAATATTTTTGGTTTTGTCGCTCTCTCCTCTTAAAAACATCCTGAAAGTGTCGGTGCGTCATCATGAGTGCTGCTTCCTGCGGTGTTCTTATCGAGTGTTCACCTTTTAGGTGCCACATCAGATTGGTAGTATTAAATCTTTTACTACCGCCTCTGCAAATGGTCGTTGGACTGCTTTCACTTTCTACACTGCATGTTTTTTAGCCAAAAACAAAGGGTCAGGCTTAATTCTAATTTGTGCTAAATAAAGCCGACAATTAAAAATGCCACGCTCGGCCCCGATACCCATCTCTGAGATCGGATCAGGACATCCCTTGTAGCGACTTCGCCGTCTGCTGTTGTTTTAGGTGTAACTCTGAACAGGCTCGCTTATTTTAATGCGGAGCCAGTAAATAGACCAGCCGAAACTAACCACACACAGAATCAGAAGCACCGTCCAGACGGCGTATATCGCTCCATGTTCCCTCGCTTCCGCCCAGGTACAACCCTGTGGAGGAGACAGAAGTATCTGCATCGTTACTGAACTACAAACACGTTTTTGTCACGTGAAAGATCACTTTGACTATCACACGACACACCTTCCCCCCATCCAGACGCCCCCATCCATGCCCCTCGGGAAATCAACCTCACTCAAAAGAGCTCAACAGACTTGAATTACTCAGCATTGATGAAGTATGTATATATGACGGCGTACAGAGCAAGTTAAAAACAATGTTTACGTTTTACATACATGGTCATATCAGTATTTTTAAAAAGGTCCTGCATGTGTTTTGAGACATTTTTGTCGAAAAAAAATGTAGAAAATATGCGCGTTAATGTTCAGAATGTGGGAAAAAGAAAGAAGAGGTTTATCAACAACGACTGTTAGACTCACCGCGAGTATTCCAGTGATGGCAGCGAAGAACAAGCCAGTCATGAAAAAGTAAAGAAAGCGTCGCCAGGGGTACCTGCGTCCAACAAACGACCTACAAGCACAATGGAGAGAGTACAGACGAGACAGCGTTAGTGCTGATTCATGCCACATGTGGAAGACAGAGAATCAGGCTAAAGCAGCTGGATGAGGATCGGACTGTAGCACAGCTCCGTGAACATTCCTGCGATGTGTGGAGCACAATGGACGGACATAGGACAGGATTTAGAGCTTCCCACAGTATTTGGGCATGCACATGGCGTAGGCGGCTGTGGCTCAGGTGGTAGAGCGGTTGTCCCCTGATCGTAAGGTTGTCGGTTCGATCCCCGGCCCCTCTACAGTCGAAGTGTCCTTGGGCAAGACACTAAACCCGAATGGCAGGCAGCACCTTGCATGGCAGCAAGTGTATGGTGTATGAGTGTGTGTGTGAATGGGTGAATGAGAAAACACTGTAAAGCGCTTTGAGTGCCGCTAAGGTAGAAAAGCGCTAAATGTCCATTACATGTCAAAGCACCTCCAATGTCTGGCAGCAACGACTTCAGTCACAACTCTGCATGTCTCTTCGTACAGCCTCTTCTATAAAGAACAGCATTTGTTTTGGGCACCATTTGTTTTCCTTGCATAAGTACAGTTGGTCCACTTTCAGTCACTAACTGTGGACACAGATGTCAGTGAATGCTTTTACATCAGGTGTTGGGGGAAAATTACGAACCCTTGCAGACGCGCAGTTGCAAAAAAAAGAAACGAACTGGCCTTTACACGGTGAACTTGAATTGAACTGTGTGTTTCTTGGTTTGGGAGCTGGAGGTCAATGGAATCAGAGTTCACGGCTTCTGATTATGAGACTGATCAATGTTTTATTTACTGAAACATTAATAGTCATATTAATAGTGTCCACATTGTATTTATCAGTGCCCCTGATTTTAATTTTCACAGAGGTGCCCTAGAGAAACAGAAAAAGAGGTCTTACACTTTTCGGCAGTGGGGACATCTTGCTCGCTTCGTATTGGTCAAGTCATTCCACTGAAAAACAGAGAATTGTTGGTGTAAAAAGTGGGTTACGAGATGACAAGTATTCACAGTCACCAGCTCCTGTCAAAGACCTGGAAGGGCAGATTTGAATTCAACAAGCTACAGTTTACTCCTGCTCAAAGTTTCTTGTATCTACGCAGGTGAGTAAATTATCACTGGCATGACAACACAGTTATTATAAACCATCCGGCCACAACCATTAGCTCACACTGTCCATCTTTTAAAGTCATTTCAGCCTTAATTTTACCTCAAAAAATTAGAAAAAAATATGCGTCTCTTCCAGAAAAGCAGAAAAACAGCAGCAGAGACTCTGAAAATGAAATCGACGTGTAGAATTAGGGTGAAAAACACATCCTTGACTTTCACTCCTCCACCTGCTGCCTCCACACGGAGCACAAATAAAAGAATTAGATTTTAACTTCTTTGGGTTTGGGGGAACCGCACTTTTGCTTCGGTGTCTTTATTTGTGCGAAGAGGTCGTTGAAATTCTGATGAGTCGGACTCAACATGAGTCGGACTCTGTTACTCCGCTACATCTTCACATTGGACGTAGATGTTTGGGTTGTGTCTGCTCATGTTGCTTAGTGCGCCATAAGCTTCCAACCAGTGTCTTTAACCAGCCAATTAATCGCTGACCTACAGCTTTCCACCCCTTGGCCGAGCAGTTGTCGGTGTGTATAGACTGCAGTACAGTGCATGTGACTAATATTAAGATGAGCTGTACCAGGAACACTTGAGAGCAGTGTCCACAGCTCACTCTGGACCCACACGGCTGCAGTTGAGGGCTGACGAAACTTGATCCTCCAGCGCCAAGCTCAATGATTCGCTTACTGAGAGAGACACAGAGAGAGAGATCGGACAAAGTTACAGTGGAGGTTTTAGCCAACGATGCCAGTCAATATTCTGAAGACCCATCTGTTCTGAACGCAAGGACGGAAACAAAAATCACACAGACAATCACAAAGACAATTACAGTAGAAACCAGAAGTTTACATCCACTGTACAAAAAGACACAAAACCTTGTTTTTCTCACTGTCTGACATTAAATCAGACTAAACTCTTCCTGTTTCAGGTCAGTTAGGATCACCAACATTATTTATATTTGTCAGAAGTTTCCATCCATCTCCTCAGTATTTGGTAGCGTTGCCTTTAAACTCTATGACTTTGGGTCAAACGTTCTGGGTTTCCTTCCACAAGCTTCTCACAACAGTCTGATGAGTTCTGGCCCATTCCTCCTGACAGAACTGGTGGAACTGGGTCAGGTTTGTTGGTCTCCTTGCTCCACTGATGTTCTCCAGGACTGAGATCAGGGCTTTGTGATGGCCACTCCACAACACTGACTTTGTTGTCCTGAAGCCTCTCTGTAGATAATCTGGCGCTATGCTGAGGGTCATCGTCCATCTGAAGACCCATTAGTGTCCAAGCTTTAACTTCCTGCTGATGTCTTGAGATTTTATGTTCTTCTTCCTCTCTGAGCAGCCTTCCAGCCCATGTCGGCACAGGACTGGTTCCACTGTGGATAATGACTCTCTGACCAGCTTCAGCAGCATCTTCTCAAGGTCTTTTTCTTTTGTTCTGGGGTTGATTCGCACATTTCAACCAGAACACTTCATCTCTGGGACACAGAACCGTCTCCTTCCTGAGCGCTATGATGGCTGGACATTCCCATGGTGTTTATAGATGCGTATAATTGTTTGAACAGATGAACGTGGAACCTTCAGGCATCTGGAAACTGTACCTGAGGATGAACCAGACTTGTGGAGGTCCACAGTTCTGTTCCTGATATCTTGGCTGGTTTCTTTAGATTTTCCATGTTGTGACTAAAGGAAGCAGTGTGATTGAGGTGTGTCTTAAAATACATCCACAGGTGTGTCTCCAATTAACTCAGATGTTGTCAATTAACCAATCAAAAGCTTCCAAAGCCATGACATCATCATCTGGGCTTTCCCAAATAGTCTGAAGGCATCTTAGTGGATGTAAACTTCTGACTTTGAAGAAAGTAATAAAAAATTCTCTCTCGCATTATTCTGGCGTTTAGCAAATAGAAATAATGTTGGTGATCCTAGCTGACCTGAAACAGGAAGAGTTTAGTCTGATTTAATGTCAGATAGTGAGAAAAAAAAAAAAGGTTTTGTGTCTTTTTACACAGTGGATGTAAACTTCTGGTCTACGTAGTTGTTGCTGAAGAAGGTCTTTCTTTCTTGCTCCACATTCTGTCCTATCTGGTTAGAACGCCGAGGTTAGCGATCTCTTGAAGGTCTTACCGTAACGCAGCAGTTATCTCAGTTAAACCACATTTCCTCTGATAGGTGTGCAACCAGACACTACATCTATTCAACTTTCTCACTCGACAGTCCAAAAGCACAGCGACAGTAGCATCACAGGCAATAACGGCATCCTACAGGAGACACTGTTCCTATGTGGGTCAGAGGGCTCTTAATCACAATTACTAGCGTCTTCATTATTCCTCTGCTCGCGTCAGATGACAAATTAGACTCTAAATTAAACGTTAGCAGTTCATGTTTAAGGTTAAGGCTGCACAAGGTAAGTCAAGCACAAATTGAGCAGGATTTTTCTCTCAAATATGTGGAAACAATTCTCCTTTAATAAAACAGTACGACGCATTTTAAGGCAAGCATAGAAAATTCTCTCTCCTTTGTTTCCCCGCTACCTCACCTTACCCTTTCTCCTGCAATAAGCTCCCAATGTGTTCCTATTTTTTTGTTTTCCTCCCCTCCACTCAAACCTCAGCGGTCAAACGGTCTCTCACCAGGAGGGACGGGGGCAGGCCACTCGCTGGGACGTCGCCTTGCAGATCAGGAGGCAGTTGCAGGGACAGCGGATGTACTTCTTCCCGGCGGGAGGGTTCTGAAGAGGCTGTCGGACAGAGAGGACGAAACTTAAGAGATTATTGTTCTGTGATAATGCGTTTTAATTACATCAGCACACACAAAGAGAAGAATTCATTTCTCACCAGTTTTTCCTGCTGTTCTGTTTCAGTTTGGGGTCAGGGTTCGATTTGATTTAAGACACAAATAAAACTACACTGTTGGAAACGCAGTAGAAATGACACGCAGCGCTTAACAAACGTATCAGAACACCACCTGATGTCAGGTTTATGCCACAGCTGCTCTAAACTAACAGCAGAACACCAAGATGAAGAAGCTCTTTAACCAAAATGCTCTTTTTAATGCTAAAATATAATTATTATTGTTATCCAGGAATTTTCAAATTGACTGTTTTACAAAGAAACTGAAAAAAAAATAGTAAAGCACATTACTATTTCTTAATTAAGAAGTCAAACTATAGTTATTTACTTGATTCCTGAAGAGATAAATTAGTTTTAGTGGTTAGATTAATGGTTTAGATTAATACTGAAGACATCAGAACGATGAAAGAACACATATTGAATTAAGTCGTAAACAAAAAAAAAAAAGTTCTAAACAAACCAGGATATGTTTTAATTTTTTTTTTAAAGTGGCATTCTCTCCATTTCTGTATCATCGATTTTATGTCTATTTCACTCTTTAAAAACACAGATTTCTTATTACTTCTTTTATTATTATTACTTTAATATTGTTTAATGGTTTTGCACTTTATTTTCTTTCATTTTACTTCCTATTATTCTTGAATGTGATATGGCATTTTTGCTTCTTTCATTATTTTTACTTACTTTAACTCTGTTCTGTTTGGCATTGGGCTGTTTAATGTTCTTCCCGAGTATTCTACATTTGACCTCTCTGCGAAGCACTTCGTAAACTCGGGAAAATTATCAGGTAAGGAGACTTTCGCAACTCTCTCGCTGCAAGAGGTTTTTGTACTACAGGTATTGTGCGACTCCTTCTTGTCGGAGGTTCCAGGGAGTCTTTCATTTCCTCCGCATACTGTGCCTTGGCAATCAGTAGCACGTTCCAAATAAACCAGCACAAGCGAGGAGAGTTCTCTTCCTTCTACCACCTGCTCTCCATTGACCAGCAGGAACAATCACAGTCATGTGAAGCGTAAAAACTTAAGGTGTGCTTTTTAATGGAGCAACGATCAGCGAGTTGAGCCTGAGGAAGCCACATGGTGCGATTAACTCCTTAATACTCTCCTCCCCAAACCTCTCCTCCTAATACATGTGCACTAAAGGCAGCTGCATGAATAACTGCCCACACCTTCCTCCTGCAAATCTTTCACTGAGAAAGACATCAGCAAATCCTTTAAACATATATGAGTAGTGGAGTGTGTTTTGGTGCAAATCATTAGTAAATCTTTTATTTTACTTCCTCGAGAGAAGCCTTGAGAGACTCATTATACATCACAGGCCTTTAAGGTTGGTACACACTGAAACCAACGTTTATAGAGTTTAAGGAATTCCTGCGAGAGCTTGGAGACAAGCTGTTGCTACCCACCGTTGCCTCGTGGCAGGCCGGACACTTGACAAGGTGCTGTTTGCTGCGATTGTTGACGCTGATTGGCGAAAGGCACACGCCACACTTCACCACCGAACTGTCTGCTGGCAGCACTGAGTAGGGAGGAGGCTCTTCAGGAAGTGGAGGAGCTGAGGCAATGGCTGAAAAGAGGAACAGAAAGGCATGCCGACCGGTGAACAATCTACCGAGAGAGGGAGGGTACTGTCGGAGCAAGAAGGGGAGAGGTGGAAGTGTCACGGAATAAAACAGGATGAGTTGCATGGCGAGGTTGTTTTATCATCTTCACTGTAACTGTCAGAGCACATTAGAGTTAAACCACCACACCCCGGCTTACTGATGTGCTTTGTTGCTTTCAGCTGTTTAGGACCATTTCCGTTGTGCTTATTGAATATCTGCAGCATCAGACAGCAGCTAGATCCATGAGCGCCTCCAAAGAGAGAGAGAGTTTTGTTCCTATATTATAAATTATCCCTGACGTGGAGAAAAGGATCCTTCAGGACGTAACGGCCTTTTGTTTGTCACAAACAGGTGAACAGAATCACAGTTTATCAGATGTAGTTGAATATGTTGTTACTTTGCAAATTGTAAAGCAAAGCAGATAGCATATACGATTCATTACCACCGCGAGTAAAAAAAAATAAATAAAAATAACGTGGATAAATTATTATCAAAAAATACACATATAAAGATGAAGGAACATTTATTTCCAAATCACCAGTCAGACCTTCGGAACTCATGACACATGTGTCCAGATGTCACTCTGGCTCACTCGTGATTCGGTCAGAGGTCATAGTGATGTGTTGTGATGTCACCTGATGACTGGCTGGATAAAGTCACTTGATTCTGCCTCCTGCCACTTTTAAAGGCTGTGGAAGTTACCACACAGTCGTCCTCACATTTATTCATATCCTCCCATTAAAGAAGGAAAAAACACAGCTGTCACTGAAATAAGTTGAAATTGACAAAAAAATAATATTAAATGAAAAATTTTATGAAAATCATGACACTGGTTTTGAATTGCGGTTGAACAGAAATAATTTTAAAAAACAACAACAAACAAACAAACAAGCATGATGGGACCCGTAAACTAATATTTAGTTGAGTCAATCACTGCCATCATCAGGTGTTTCCTGTAACTCTCAGTCAGATTTCTGCACCTGTTGACAGGTGTTCTGATTTTACTGCTCATCATCAAAGTGCTCTAATCAGTGTTTTTTTTTTTTTTTTTAAATATTCTTTCAGCCACAATTCAAAAGCAACGTCTTATTTCACTAAATTATAATTTAGCAAATTTTTATTTATTCTAACTTTTTTCAGTTTCTAGTTATTTGAGTGACTATTGTGAATTTTGCCTTTTCTTTAATGGAAGGATAAGAATACATCTGAGGACGACTGTATATGGTTCCTTGTCCGATAAAGAGTTAGGAAATCAAGTGTAGACTGGGCTGTTAGTTATCTGGACAGTCTGATAAGGCACCACTAGTTTTGATGTAGATTTTTTTGGGCGTATGTCGGAATGAAGCTTTGAGGAACAATAACAGAAAATTGATGAAGTCAGCAAAGGTGGTTGCTTGACCATCTTAGAACCTCTTCAGACTTTGTGGGAATGATATTTGCCATATAAAACTGACATCTTACCATTTTTTTAAAAACTAAAATTCCAACATTTTCATAATTTTTTACCTAATAGAAACTTTCAATAAATCTCCTACGAGTTGAAAATTGAACAAGATGCCATTTTAAAATGTCCATATCTCCTGAAATATATACGTCCTAGACTCTTCACAGTTTCAGGAGGTGTTTATATGTTTCTGTCAAATGGAGAGAATCCAGCAAATACTGGTAAACAAGACTCAGTTTTGTGCTGTAGACCTCGCAAATTCAGGTTTTGTTCAAAAGGCCTTCATGCTAAAAATCATTCTGCTCCAGACTCTTATTATAAAATGGGAGGTGGTGACTGGGGTTGGCATGGAGACATAAAAATGACGTTTATGGTATTATGGAAGAATTTTGAAACTTGGCACACCAGTAGATGATACTTCCATCTCGTACTGTTCAACATTTCATCAGCCGACCCGTGATTCAAGACGTCCATCTGACTGCTTGGAAATTCATTACTTTTTTATTTACCTGTGTCGACTTTGATTGGCCATAACTCCCATTCCTACTCACAAATGAAAGCTTTCTAAGCATTAGTGATGTCACTCAGATGTTATTCTCAAAATAAAATCGATCAACTAGATTTTATGTATTAGAGATTTACATTTCTTAATTTTTCAAAAATCTACTTTATTAGCGTTTTTTTTTGTTTGTTTTATTTTAACAAATCCTGAATTAAGCAAAAAATTGAGTCAGTATTTGTTGCCATCTCCATGGTAACTGATGCTGTGGCGCTAGATCACCATGGTAACTGATGCTGTGGAGCTAACCTGGTCGGGAGCAGGTTATGTTCAGAGTTTAGGATTTAAATCGTCTCCCTTTAACCAAATTGTTTTCCGACTATTATTTATGAGCGATACAGATTCTCAGCGGAGGGAATGTGTTTTATCTGCAAACATGCTGAGTCATGCCACTGTACGCATTTTGTTGCCATGTTAACCAGACATGTATTTAGTTGGGATGCAGACACCACATAGATGTGTTTTTATGTTCGGCTCTGGTTTGCTGTCAAATCCAGTCACACAGTTTACAGAACACAGATTAGAAGATGGATTATTCTACTGGTATTTATTACAGAGAATATTGAACCAATAACACTGATTTCGCTTTGATTTGACCAAAAATTGAAGTGATTTCCTGCATTACGGGACAGTGACAGACCTAAATACACTTCAATGCAATATCATGTTTAAATATATGAAGTCTGGGGCGCTGCTATAGCTCACCTGGTTGAGCTGGCGTCCCATGTACAGGGCTACAGTCCCCATGTGGAGGTCATGGGTTTGAATCCTGCTCATGGCCCTTTCCCACACGTCCTCCCCCTACTCTTCTCCGCCACTTTCCTGTCTCTCTCTCACTGATCTATCAAAAAAAATAACTTTAAAATATATATATATATATGAAGTCTGACAGCTTTAATGTGCAGCTGGAAATAAGTGGTAAAATAAATATATTAAGCACGTTTAACATTTTTCTGTCAGCATTCCTGTCTTGCATCATTTGCAGAGCTTTATACTGTTAGAAAGTTTTCTACTAGTCATTGTTCCTCATTAACAACAACCTGTTGACGGAAGCAGCTGCTTCGTGTTGTGCGGACGTAGACTCACATGATGTCTGAAGCAGAAAGAAAAGTTGATCATCACCTTTCTGATACCTGTTTTCTCTGACTGGGGTTTAGCTTTTGTTGAGCCAAGTTAAACAAAGAAAGCCTCTCAGGTTCAGAGGACTTGTCACATGACGGAGCAGCTGAACTTATTGTTTACTATAATACTCATCAGAAGAATGCGCAGGTGATTTGTTGTTTTTTTTTTTTATCTGGTTCTTTAAGGAGAAGTAAACAAGACCACATGCTCTTCCTCCCTCAGCCTTCATCACACATTAAACACAATGCCAACCGTCCACACACAGTTTCCAAGCTAGAAAACCCACACACTGATAAATAAACCTCCTGCTGAGTGTTGGTGCTGTCAGCGCCACAACAGCAGCCGACCTGCGTGAAACTGGACCTGTCAGAACAAACTTCTCGGTTACCTGCAGCTGCGTCCACGTCTGAGGGGCCTCCTTTATCCGCCTCCCCGCCGCCGAGAAGTGGCGTTTTCTCCTCGTCCGCCATGTCCGTAGGAACAGAAACAACTTGGTTCTGGTGTTCCGAGTCACAACAAAACAGCCATACTCAGGGACTCGTCATGTGAGCCTGACTCAGGACCAGATGTGCGCATGCTCCGTCACATTGGTCACCGGATTACATGTAACCGGTTTAGATTTTTATTTTTACTTTTTTAATGTGTGAAAAGTCACCAAATCCTGATCAGATATTGGGAAACATTGTATTTTTTATGATAAAATATCGTTCTTGAGTCTGCTCCTTTTTTTAACCTTTTATCGGGCAAGGAAGCACATATGGCAACTTCCGCAGGCGGAGTGGTATCACGTGACAGCATCCAGCCAATCAACGAAGACCAATCGCTATGGTGTCTGACCAATCACGAGTGAGCCAGAATGATATTTTGACACCAGCGTCATAAATTGTCACGTCTGACTGTGTGTTGTAGGTGTGTTTTTTGTTTTTGTTAGTTTGTTTGTCTGTTTTTCTACAATAATTTATCCACATATTATTTGGATTTTTTCTTCTTTTTTTTTAACCGAAAGTGGGCAAAGAACCATATATGTTAACTGCTTTGACTTTGATTTGCAGCCTAATTTTTTGTTTAAGTCAAAAAAGAAAAAATGTCCTTTAATATCCTCCAATAACACTCCAGGGTTGAAAGTTTAAATTTCCAAGTATTTCAGTGAGTGACCCGTACAGACGTTAACCGTCAAACGCCTGTACTGTCACCTCCGTTGCCACGTCATCACGCACCACTCTCACGTCATCACGCACCGTTCTCCTCAGTTGGCCCCAGAAACAGTGAGGCGGGATGTTTGTGATGCCACGCTGCTGCCACCAGTACACCACAGGCAGAACCTGCAGCCACTGTGGTAGGAGTCACACTTTGCTGTATAACCAGACGCAGAATAGCAGGATGAGGGCCAGAAATGGCTTCAAAAGCACAACAAGCTGTCACAAGCATTTTTACAACACCCTTAAATACATGCACAGCACCAGTCAGAAGCTTGGACGCCTTCTCATGCAGCAGGTTTAATTTATTTTAATCATTTTCGACATTGTAGATTAATACTAAAGACATCAAAACTATGAAAGAACACATATGAAAATATGTAGTAAACCAAAAAAAGGGAGATAAACAAGCCAGAATGTGTTTTGTTTTTTAGATTCTTTAAAGTAGAATCTAACCCTAGCTGTGCACAACACATTAAGAAGGCAAATGACTTCCACAAATTGACTGTTGTGATGGCACACCTGTTAATTCAAAAACATTCCAGGAGACTATCGATTGAGGCTGACGGAGAGAAAACCAACAAGAATCTAAAATTGTAAACCTATTCTGTGGCAAGCAACCCGTTCCACCACTTGAGCAACACCGCTGATGTTGCATGTTTTAAACAGTACCTGGCGTTGTAGTATAGATGTACTCACGCCCGCTGATAGGGGGGGACAAACGGGTCTGTTGTCCCGGGCTCAGAGTGGCGGGGGGGCCCAGAACTGGACCCTCATTGAATTATGG